ATTAAGGGTCAGATTATGTGGATTCTGCAGGGCCAACTCCCAGTGTGTCAAGCTATGGAAGCCGAATTTTTGGGCGTAAAGCATTGTGTACTTACAAGTTGATTTTAATGTCCTAAACTTGATTATTGAATGGGACTCATCCGATGCGATTAAATGGTGTTTAAAACCCTTCCTTGGAGATGGATTACTGACTTAATGCAGATTTTGGCCCATCTAAGGGAAGAACAGATTATCTTTTCTCTTTTTAATAGGGAAAGAAATTCTTTAGCAGATGGGCTACCTAAGAGTACCACTTCTTGTAATTTTGTTACCATTTTCTTCTTTTAGCTTTTTTTTTTCTTTTTCCTTTTTTTATTTGCTTAGGCGTCTTTAGCCTGATCGTACCCCCTTTCATTTTCTCAATGAAATCTTAAATAACTGTGTCAAAAAATACCTTCAAGAATAAAGTTCTTTTTTTTTTTTTACCTCCAGAAAAAAACTTATTAAACACTCTGTGGGTGCCTAAAGAAATAACGCCCTAATATTGAAGAGACTGTCCGAATTTTAAATGATCTGATCTAATTGTTTAACAACTAAAATTCCAATTTTCTGGAAAAAGTTTATATAGAGCCGAAGCTCTAAACGATCAAATTAAAGCCCACCTCAAAAACTTCACAAGAAGAGGTTGTTTTGATGCCCAACTATCCTCAAAGTGATCACATCAACGTGAAGATACATGGACATGACAAAAAAAAATGGATTGCTAAGTTTTGAAAATAATGCATCTTTTAACTCATTTTTTTATATCAATTTTCAATATTTTCAAGTTTTTATAGATTTATTCAATCTACACTATTTTTAAAGCTTTGAATTTTATAATTAGCGATGAAAATATATTTTAAGACTATCACAAATATTTCTAGTATTAAAACTACATTTCTCAATACTATTTGAAGGGGCGCTCCACTTTGATTGTTTAGAGCCTTGTACCAACCACACCCTTTGGTGGATCCCGAACTTTGTTATCTCTAAATCTCCCTAAATAGCTCTTTTCCGAAGGGAGCAAGTGCGTAGAATGATCTCAAGAGCATAATGTACAAGCGCTTTAAATGCCGAACCTATGCAATGCAAAAAAGGCTATTCAAGACCATGTATTTACTAAAAAGGAATCGTAAAATATACAAGAGATTTTATACAATGAGATCACTTACTTTTGATACAAAAAGATCACAATTACATATAATTATCATATGTGAAATTTGATAGCTTGGATGTGTTACAAAGTTTCTTTTGAATTTTGAACTTGGTTAATAAAATAAATACAGCCACCCAATTTCACATCTACTGGTCAAGATTAAGTGTGACCACCTTGGACCATTTATTGACCACCTTGTACCAAAGATAAATGGTCTCGTTATATACTTTCTCAATACACAAAAAGAAACATTTGCTTTTAGTCTTGTCTGATTGTAAGTGCATCATTGACTAGACTTAAATTTCAAAAATAAATTTCTTGAACTTCATGACACACCTCAAACTATTAAATTTGACACCCAATGGCTAAGAGAGATTATGACTTTTTTGTAATAATGGTAAATAGTCTTATTACATATAAGGGTGAGGTTTGTATAAGGTGTCAACCTTATACTGTCGAAGTAACATGCGTCTCAAAATTATGCCGAAAATGTAGTTTGGTGCCGCAAAGCCTTGTGATATATGATAATCTATTGTTGCCCTCAATTATAAAGTTTAAAATTCCATAAATGGTGCAATAAAAGCAGATCTATACACACTTGAAAATGGACGGCTTAGATAATGTGTTAGAAAATGAGCTACTTTTAGGATTAGAATCCTTTTTATTTCATGTCTATGAAACTCAAAGTCGAGATGATTGATTGGAGGGTTTTTCCAACATAAGAACAACCTCTTTTTTTTATTTTTGACAAATGTTCAAAACTTTTATTGATGACTAATTAAAAGAGATTACATCAAAGGAGATCAAAAGCGAAGGCAACGAAACACTTCCCTTAGCCAAAGAGTCAGCTAGTGAGTATGCTTCTCGGTAAACATGGGAAAAGGAAAAAGAAAATGGTTCGACCAGATCCACGATTTACAACCAAAGAGAACGAAGCTCCCATGGAACCCGTTGTTTTTTTTTGCGCCACTTAATCACATTCAAATAATCCCCTTTAACCCAAACATTCGTTCTCATCTTCTTCTCAAACAAAATTTTCACCCGACACAAAAGAGTACTTAATTCAGTATAATATGTTGTTTTGACCCCAATCGGAACAGCAAAGGAGAGAATTATAGAACCCAAGGAATCATGCACTACACCACCAATTCCAGCAATACTTGAGTTTCCCAGAGAACTCCCATCAAAGTTAAGCTTAATACATCTAGCAGAAAGTGCAGTCCAAAAATATTGTGGTCTACTACGAGCATACCCAAGGAGAAAGAGGCGGCTAAAGTTTGTCATCACATCAACTTTAGAATCCCCCACTCTTCTTTTATCATAGACAACCATAACCAAATTGAGTGCTTGATATTGGTTAAAAGTTTTTCCAAAGGTAAGGAGTTACTTTCAAAGGTTCTTCTATTCCTCTCCTTTCAGGTTTCCCAAAGAACAACATGCTCTAGTGAGTTTTAAGGTGCACTTTACTCGTACGTTAACACGTTATATAAACTATAATGTACATATAATCCCAAAAGAAATTGGTTCTGCACTTCAAACGTTCGAATTTCCATGAGTCAGCTGACTCATTTATACACGTGCATCCCCCCTAAAATTCATCTTAAATATAGATTTATGGATCCAAAATTTTAGAAATCCACTGCCTATAAAATGGTGGTCACGATTATTAGAAAAAGAAAATTTCAAATTCAAAAGTTTTTCTTTTTAGTTTATTTGCATCTGTTTATCTTAGATTTTAGTTTGGGTACCTTGTTTTTTAACTTCCATTTTATTGATGGATGTTTGATACCGTGCATCCCCTTGAGGGCAGACTAATTTACCATTGTCACACCTGGTGACCTAAGATGCTTTTTACGTTTTAGTACCATTCGGATATCACCGATAAAATAAAATAGTAGGGGATTGTATTCTTTGAGACTATTAATTTTTGGTACAAGTAGGTCATGATCTTTTTAACCATTAGATGTACAATTCAATAGATTAAAGTGTCACAACATTTGAAAAATTATATTTTGAAGTTTGCCCAAACAATTATTCATTCTCAACCTCTTGATTTCAAATCTAGTGGTCAACGATGATTGTGACCTTTTATATCAAAGCAAATACATTTCCAAAAAGTTGACATGATGTTTTATATGACTTTGCATTCTCCATAATACATGAGATTTTGGTGCCTATGCTCGCCTTTTTTTTTTTTTCTCTTAAACTTCACAATGCTTCAGAACAAGGAAAAAGTTTATGTAAGGTTGCAACCTTAAAATGGAGAATTAAAGGTGCACATAAAAACGTCCATCATAAAAGCTTGTTTGGATGTTGGAGAACTCTCTGATTGATCATCTCCACATCAAGATGTATGAATATGAAAAGCAAAAAAGATTTGGAATCCGTAAAATAGTGCATCTTGCCACATATTGTCTGAACCGTCCATTTTTTAGATTTTCATCTGTTTACATTGAGAGAAGTGGACTTTCTTTTATTGTAGCAATTTTAGTTGAGTAACCAGGAATTGCTATAAGATTTTAGAAATTTATGGCTGCAAAACACCCCCATAGTGAAAAATGAAAGCCGGATGTTTGAAAAAGTATGAAAGAAAACGAAATCAGAAGGTTAAATCAAATGAATTGTGGTGATCCGAGCAAAAGAGATTTGATTGAGCTGAGAATATTCACATTTGCTCCCTTGGGAAAGCTCTTAAGAGAATTTTTAAGACCTCAAATCTTTGGGATATTGGCTACTCAACCTAGTGACTTACAAGGGAACATAAAAGGAGAAAAAAGAGGAAAATAAAAGAATTGAACGCCTGAGATTATCCATAGACCGCTCTAATTTTTGATGGTCAGATTTTGATTTTTAGTTATTAAAAATTCTTTTTTTCTCATTTTTAATATATTTAGGTGCTAAAAGTGGATTCTAAAATTCGATATTATCCTCTATGGGTTTTTTTGCCCGAGGCAGCAAGTGTACATTTTGAATATGCAAGAGCATATTTGAGAAATTAATTGAGATGTTCCATTGAAATCCATTGTTCCTAGGCTACGGTTTATCGCAACCTTAGACAATCCAATTAAGGTGCATCTCTAAATTTTATTATATATGTAATTTTGATATTAAAAATTCTTCGAAAGGCTTGAGAATCTATTTTCCTGATATTGCCTCCATGATACCATATTATAAGAGCTATTTTGTGGAAAAAAGATGAAAGAAACAGAATGGCCATTCTTACTTAGTCCTGTTTTTTATCATCCTCCTTAGTACCTCTAAATATGGCAACATGCCTGTCTTCTTCTTCTTTTTCTTAAGTGCCACATGGCAATAGGTTGCTCCGCTGCCAATATAACAGCTGTTATTTCCACGTTAAAGGCCCGTACAACTATTCCTTGAATTCATTAAGGGCCTGTCCAATTGCTGGAAGATAAACAAATGGAAAATGATAGTTCACGGCATATAGCAGTTAAATAGAACAGCATGTGTGATCTGAAGTACTGTTCATGCTCACTAAAAGACGTTTACTCAGTCAGAGACGATAGATATGAAACATGCTCTACTCGAATCGGCCATTGCCAGTGGCTCATCTCAACTGACTGTTACTGAATACAGATGGTTGAGATTATATGCAGCCTACTCGTGTGGTGCTTATATACTACAGGTATGGTAGATAACCCAGAAAATTTTTCCACAAAAAGGAAATTTCTCAAAAATAGACAAGATATCATGAGCATATATACATAATGCATCCACAGGGAAATCAGAAGAGTCTCATATAAGTCAAACAAAAAGAGAAATTGAAAAATAAAGGCAACAATAAAAACATACCAAGTACAACCAATGAGAAAAAAAAAGAATAGCGTAAATTAAGATCCTCATGTGATTTACTGTATATAGTTTTAATTACAGGCAGATTCAGCCATCTGAGCGGCTTGGGCTTTTTTTTTTATTTTTTATGGAAGGATATTACTTATATATCATATTTTGCACCATACTCCTTGATGCATTTGTGAACCGTAAAAACATTATCAGTGACCATGATCTTACCACAGAAAGAATATAGGTTTCTTTAGCAAAAGCACATTCCCGATATAGCCAGTTCAGCTACAAAAGAGCCTTGCCTGAAGCAATAAAACATGCATCGCAAACAATTACCCACAAAATATACAGACACAGAAAAAGAATAAGGTAAAGAAGGGAGTAGATTTTACTAAATGCCTTGCTTCTCTAACTGCACTTCCAAATTTGTGAAAACTGTTTCTGAAATCCACAAACACAATCTCTCATTCTCTCTGACGTTGTGTGCATGTGTGGGCATGAACACACATGAATGTCATCAATCCATTTTATGAGAAAAAGAGAATATCAGACTTGGATACTTCCTTAAATAAAGGGAATTTTGGTCATTACCAACAAAGAGATGCTATGTTTAGAAACACCAAATACCAGTGCCTTCCCCATTTTTCTTTAGATCATCAATTTTCAAATGGTAAGAGGAGCAATATTTTCAAATCTACAATAATCACAGAATATTGACTGAAAGCAAATGCTTTCCAGATTACGTTTAGATAATGAATTCCTCCTCATATGAGAAGTCAAAAACTTTCAAAAACATATAGGTCAATTACCCTTTTTTTGCCTTTGAATGAAGGTTCACTCATATAGGTCACAATACTATACTTG